TAACACAGCATTCAACCACCCACATCCTCTCACATCCTCCATAAGAAGAGCAGCACTGCTACCACCCACAGTCCTCTCTGAAATACCTGGTACAAATATGTGTGAAATCTGTGGCATTTTAATTTTTTTATTATTGTTAATTTCTCTCCGAATTTTGTGTTGATACAGTGCTCTTGCAGTTACCCTTCACTGCAGTGCTGTTGCTCTGCAACCAGGCTTAGAGCAGAAGCCTATACTGTATCTGAACGTCTTGAATGCATACCAGTGGAGTGAGGTGTATCTGAGAATGCCTGGAGGACTGTATTTGGCCCTGCAACAGAGATGTCAGATATCCACCATATGGCTTTTTATAGAGCTATATGTTTGTCTAAAGTAGAGGCAGGGGTTAGGGTTGGTATTATAGCTGAGGCTAAGGTAAACATCATGTGTGATTGAACTGGCTTAACATTGTCTCAATATTGTGGTAAAATTATAGGGCCGTGAGGACTTTGGGACAGTGATGATTGTAATCTTGTCCATGACCAATCTGTCAGCTCTAGTTCCTGTTCTGATTGCTATGTATATCTTTGTTTGTATGATTATCGTGGACTTAAGAAGGACAGCGAGACCATTTGATATTCCTCTGTAGCAGCAAGACTAGAGGTGACTCCATCTGTCTGGCACCTGAGGACATTTCCCCGCAGCTGGTTGTTGGCATACTCACTGGTATCAAAAATGTGTGTTTATCTCTGTTGTCCTAAGTTGCTAAGGAAAGATTTATTGCATAATTGCTGTTATCGGTAATGAGCAGAGGATGTTGGACCCTGAAAAGACCTGATCCTAGGCCATGTTCATGAGTCAGGATGAAGCGGTGCCAGTTCATCAGCTTTCCTTTTGGCTTCTGTCTTTAATGATCAAAGTCAAATGGCTTTGGATGCAGGGTGAAGAACTTGGAGACAGTGCTTGAGAATCCTGCTGTTACATGTCTAAAAGGAGCGTAATGTAAGTGTGCGAATGAAGCTGTAGCTTTTGAATTTGTCACCTCCAAAGTTGGCAGACAAACTGGCACCTAATACCAAATAACAGATGTTTCTAATCAACTTACAGGTGTTCCTAACTAACTTGGCCATTGTGCAACATTGTAGGTATATTCATACCGATAGAAAATGAATGAGAAATTAGCTGAATGTAATAAAAAAGATGTTGCAATATGTGACTCAATCACATAGTTAAATGCCAGTTCATTCCCTCATGCTCCTTTTTGACTGAGTCAGTTTAACTGCACTCTGGCTTTCCATGACCAGAAATGAGTCTGTCAAACCCAAAAATGTTGATGGCAGAGGAAGAGAATTTGCTCCACAACCAAAAATGAAAGTTAGACCATCAGCCAGCTGCCAAAAGAAGCAAATATTTCTCTCGCTGTGTCATAAGGGAGAATGGGATGTTTTGCTAAGCTGCAGAATGGCCAAGAGTGAAGGAAGCCAAGGAAAAGGCATGCATGCATGAAGCTTACTAATTACCATTTTCTAAACAAAGAATTGGTTCCTAATGAACACTGTTGTATTGCTATACAACATTTGGACACAGATCACAAAATACTATATGGTAGGAAGGGGAGAGATAGGCCGGAACTATAAAGTGAACAAAGCAATCCATCAGGCCATCATGTTATCGATTGTTTTTATCAGTAGTTGTCTTCCCTGAGGGGGTAAAATAGGATTTGGATCTCCGTTCACTCATATTACATGGAAAAATAATAATAAATAATGGAAATGTTAACTAATGAAGTAAGTTTTATTTTTCTCGTATATATTCTCGATGCAATGTTTGACAGTATTTTGATTTTGCCACAAGCACAATATTCCAGTATACTTACAGCTAAAATGGCATATCTGACTGCTGCTTTCATAATTCATAATCTTTTCACAGATCCTCATAAAATGCCCTCCTTCCCCTCCAGTCATCACAGACTGGCCTAGGGAAACCAAACCATTTTCTGATTTGTCCCCATCTCCCCTTGAGAATCTGCTCAATGACTCCCATCGAGACAGTATTCATATTATTGTCTGAACAGCTTCAGAGACTAGAATAAGTTTATGGTGGTTTCATAATTTCCATGCTCTGATCACAAAAGGACACTTGTTTGGGCCTCTTGTCTCTCAGTCATTTCCTTGTTGAGGGTTAAGGGGAGGAGTGGCTCTGTGGACTGTGGCGGCTGACAATCTCACATTGTGTGAACTGGTGCTGCTTCACAAAGAGCCCATTGTGCAGAGCGCTGGCCCGGGGAGAGGGGACTGGGTCTAGGCTAGGTGACAGAGAGGTGTGGGTTCGGGGGGCTTGGGTCTGGGGGCTAGAGCTGCGATGGCTGGCCCAAAGTAGGGGCGTGTATTGGTGCTCAGCTGACGCAGTGCTGGGGCAGGGAGGGGGCACACGTGTGACAGGAGTGCCGTGCTGCTTGCCACACGGCTCCAGTGCAAAACATACACTGTACTCCCACCTACTTCATATAAGCACTCTAATCTCTCAGAGGTGAGCTTTATGGAAATTGGTTTTTAATCAGAGCTGTTGTCAGTCTGATTTATTTTCTGTGTCCAACAGAATCCAACACTGTCATTATAGAACTAGGGGCTTAATCTGCTTGTACAACTGTTCCCAGAATTTGAAATATTTTGCTGTTTATCCTCTTCTGACTCCAGCTCAAGGACAGGCCCACATGTGTTGCGTACTCTAGATTTGTTTACTCAGACAGATGGCCTAGCAGTCCAAAGTCATAGTCCACAAAACCCCTTTTTTTCTGCTGCACTGCTGTTATCCATGACCACCAGCTTGAGACTGAGTCTCCCTTTTCTCAGCCCATACTGTTCTGCTCTCCATCCTCAAACCTCCTTCCTCTTGCCATGTCTGAGAGTGACAGGGCTCTCAGGTCAAGCTGACGCCAGTCTCTCTTTCGAGTCTGAAGCAGGCCTAGGCCCTCGCCCAGCTGTTCCAAGGTCTATTTGGCCGTCTTTCTGTCAAACCCGGCTGTTGCCCTGGCCTCTCACCTTGGTGTCAAGAGCCCTTCGGTGATGGAACATTTTAAAACCACGAGCATAAGAAGTTGAGCCAAAACATAATGGCCAATTGTGCCTCCGTGATACTTGTTTCACCATTGTACATGAGTCATTGCAAAGGTTATGCTACCTGTCATTCCATTCTGCCTCAAAATGTCTTGGCCTAGTTAAGCCAACCTACTATCCTCCTTGTTCTAATTGACTGTGCCAAATTTTGACTGCTATCTGTTACAATACAGACTGTGGTAAAAGAGTTGAGGATGAAAGTGACATTTAACAGTGACAAAGTAAACAGGGCCTCTCATCTGCCCTCAGGGTGGGATTACCACGGACTGTTAACTATTGACTTCTCTGTCTACATTAGAGGCCATCTATGGGCTTCAATTGCTCTGTTGCTGACAGGCTATGGTTATGCTGCACAAATTGGGTCCTTGAGTTAAATTTATTTGGTCAGTAGCTAACATAAATGTGATACCTTTTAATTTTGTTTCCAGCTCTATCTCCTAATATATTCCAATTTGCTAAGGGCTGTAATTTATCATCTGTGGCTACCTGGTACTTATAGCTAGGAACCACTATGATATTTTGGTGTCTATAATTCTGCCTCTGTGTTTAGTGCAGTGAGAGTATGGCCCAACAGCTAACCATGCCCAGTGTGCTTAGTTATACAGTTACTTCATTGAACCAATATAAATCCCTCAGTCAACATAAGATTATCAAGGCTTCTCCCATTGCTCCTGTAAGTCCTTTGGAGGTCAAACTAATCAAAAGTCAGTTTTCTGAGCTAGTAATATTTGTGGTAATGTGTGTGCATATATTTGCCTTCTTTTAAGTACTGTCTTTCCAAGAATGCATCTGCGTGTTGTACTGACTAATGTACTCATTTAAACTGTAACTTTAAATTGAACTGTATTTCTAGCACACCACTCTCACTCAGAGCGATGCAGTGCAATGGACTATAAATAGATTATCTTATCTGTTCCAAGTTGAGCTGCCATGTCTCCATTCATTGTAAATGAGCCGTGACTACATACAAAGCCACTGTGTGCTTACATAAACCTGCATGTAAAGCCTTAAGGGTTGTACACAAAGTGGTATTATTGTAGAAGTTCTGTGGTCACGTTATTTATGGCTTACAGATGGCATCAATGTCAGCATGCATAGTTGGGTTTACACCTCACAGCTAGGCATCAGACAGATTAAACTCAAAACCGCTCAGTGAACCCATGAACTTGCACTGTTTATAAATGGAACAGTCCTTTTCACTGGTCCTCTCAGGCTCTTTCTAGCTGTACAATATACAACATGACTGTGTAGATCAGGGCTGAACTACCAAAATTGCAGGCTATATTCACATTGGAACAATGTTATGATGATGATAATAAAGAATTGGAATAATTTTATTGTAAAACAGTCTAGTTTATTTGATAAATAATGTAAATTTGTATTATTTAATGTCTTTTGTATGCACCTGATTCTAGATACCACCATTTTTTAACTTAAAAAATGATTTATTTAAAAACTTATTTAACCAGGACTTAAAGTGCATCATTATTACTGTGTTAATTATGGACTATTAACCAAATACAATAATGTCACACTGAGTCCATCAGAGTTGTGAACAACTACCTAATTTCCCCGTCTGAAATCACCCTAAGTATTGTTAGAGCTGTACTTTCTTCTACAATCGGAGCTATTGAAGTAAAAAGCTGCATATATGATGTAATTATGTAATTACCATCTTTTGAAATGCTGCAATACATATCACAAGGCACAAAAATATCACAGTGAGCCCTAACAAGAACATTTGCCTGTGCACAGACTGTCATATCAGTGCGTGTCATGCCAAGGCTTGGCATGAAAATGAATGCTGGGGTGGATTGTGTGAGAAGACAGACCATGTGGAGGGATATGTGGGCACGTCTGTTCACTTCCACATTTAACACAGTGTGTCTCTGTTGTGTCCTGCAGCCCAGCACTCTACCCCAGGGTACAATCAATATGAACCAGTGCTCGGATGTCATTGATGGAGAGTCCAGGACAGGTCAGAAGAACTCGCTGTGCATCCTGACCCCTGAGAAAGAGCACTTCATACGGGCTGAGTGTAAAGAAATTATCAACGGGTAAGACAAGACAATCTGCCATTATCCCTTTTTATATGTGTGATATACAATAACTGTGGCCTCAGGTGGGCAGTATGGTTTGTGTTCTCTTTGGTTTGAGTGGATAGGGATGACAGAGACTTGGATAGGAGAGAATAGTTGTGCTGTGCACAACTGCCTCTGCTGCCAAAACTGCTCTGCCCCCTGCTGTCTCTTTTGGGCTGTGCTTTTCTGAGACTTGTAATCCACACTGCAGTGACAGTGCACATTCTTGAACTGTTTCCTCTCCCTGCCTCTCTAGCCCCTCTCCTTGTGTTCACCAACCCCCATATGCCTGCTCACCGATCACAATACACAAGCTTTAAGCCTCATTATTTGGTCGTTTCTTGTGCGTTTCCTCCACTGCCTGTACATTCAAAAGTGTGTTTTTGCACTGCACTCTCCATCCTTGGCTGTAGCATACATATTATGGCTATTCTTATGGAACTGTGACTCACAACACCCACTCTCCGTTATGCTACCTGCTGTATCACTGTATTCCTCCTACTCTGTCATCTGGCTCCCATGTGTTGGTTCTGGGCCATCACACAATCATATTAGCTTGCAAAGTTGCCAATAACTGACAGCCAGGATTTTTAAAATATAAATGTATTTAGGTTTGGGTTTCTGTATTGTGCCATATTTTACAATTACATGAGGACTAATGTTAATCTTTATAGCTATTTTCAGATTATATTAGTTATATTTCGTCCACTTCATCATTCTTATTTTTAGTCAGTTTTTAGTAGACTAAAACTCTGGACACTTGAGATTTGTTTTATACACTGCAAACCATTTTACAAAAACATTTACTACTTTAGTCATTTTTTGGGGCAAAAACATTGTGAACATTTTAGTTTAGTTTTAAGACCAAGAGTGAGCACTTTAGTAAAACTAAAGCAAAGTGCTTCTGGGTTACAATTTCTTCTTTCCAAATCTGTTTGATTGAAGATATAAATGTTATTACTTTGTGTGGAAGTAGAATGATCGTGCTACAGTGGAGTATGATGGCACAGCAGCATAAATTTAATTTATTCTTGCAAATGCTTAAAGGTCCAGTGTGTAACATTTAGGAGGATCTATTGGCAGAAATAGAATATAAATATTCATAGGTATGTTTTCATTACCAATCACCTGAAAATAAGTAGTTACCTTAAAATCAGCCGTTTTTATCTACAGAGTCAGCGGGTCCTCTTTTACGGAGTCTGCCATGTTGAGCTGCCTTGTTTCTACAGTAGCCCAGAACGGACAAACCAGACACAGGCCCTTTTTCACGTTTTTCTCATCCACCGTAGTTTCTCCTACACACTTAGAACAGGAGGGCGAGGTGACGACATTGCAGTCATAAACTGCTGCTACTAAATACTACACACTGGTCCTTTAACTAAATATACTCCAGTTTATCAGGTAATAGTGTCCTTATGAATTGCGTTTTTAATAAAACAGATTTTTAGTCCTCACAAAGAGCAAAAAAGCAAACATTAATGAATGAAAATAAATGTTACCATAATGTACCAAGATGCTTTACAGTATGTTCCAACTAGGGGATTAGACACTGACTAAAGGTGAGATTAAAGAAAACTTTAGAGGGTGTTTAATCTATTATATTATGAATCTAGTGTAGTTGCCTCTTTTTCTATCTGTTAGTAGTATTAGGTAATGCTCATGCTTATCCTGGCAAGTATAATAGTTTCTATTTGGCTGCAGAGAACTTTGTTCCAGTCATGTATTGATCCACCATGGGTGCTGGGTTTGTAAAGTCTGCATTTAGTGTCCCAAGAACAACAATTTGACTATCACTATTTGTAGGTGGCAGGAGGCTCTGACTGTATATCCCAGGACCAACAAGCAGAACCAGAAGAAAAAACGCAAGGTTGATCCACCCACTCATCAGGTAATGCACGTGTTCACACACTCTGTAGTGAAGTGTTTTGACCTTGCTCATACTTTACAAGGTAAGAGTAGTAAGCAACCAAATTCAGTTTAAGGTCCGTGTGATATTTTTTATGTATACCTTATTGTATTGTCTATCAATGGGTTCTTAAATGCTGCCTAAATTGTGGCACACATAAACCAAGGGGCCCCCTGTATAGCAGACAATAAGGAGAGCATGGTGCCACAACTTTGGTGATTAAATGAGATTGGTCACATCGGTACCAAGTGCAGCAGTAATTCTGATGCAAATTTCACTTAGTATCTGTGCTTGTATGACATCATCTGTGTTATAACTGAAGTATTTTCAAATGACAGGTAATGAGTTATTTTTGGCTGCTAGTATGCTTTCATGCTCACATGTTGAATGTGTATATGACTTTGTTTGTTTATATATATATATATATATTTAAGGACAACATGTGCTGTGGAAGTATGCACTATGGAGGCTTTTCATTCCACTCAAACTACAGAGAGAGAGAGAGATGTATTTTTTTTTTCTGTCAGCAACATGACTATCCATAATTGTCAACTGATGTGCCACATGTGTCACATGCTACATCTAAATTAATTCCAGTGGTCATTTGTACGATGGCAAAATAATTACAGTGTGAACATTAGTTATTAGGCAGCAAGCATAAGAGAACTATCAAAATATTCCTGAGCAAATAATCAAGGTTAGGGGTAATTTTGACAGCTGCCCGCTAAAAAAACACTCAGCAGTGACTTTCAGCAATGTGACCGTGAACCTCTCGCTTACGAATTTGCTGGTGCACTCTGTTTCATTGTTATGTCCAGCAGCTGCTGTCCTGTCTGTTCATTTATCAACCTTGTGTGCCTGATCAAAACAGATTTTTCTTAAAAATCATCACCTATGTGCCCTGTGAGAGCAGGAGTGTGCAAGGGCTCAAAATACTCCATGAGGAATGGGACAATACTGTGAAATTACATGTCAACTTAAGCAGAAGCATTTCTGACCTTAAAACAAACATCATGCCTTTCATAGAAGATTTTTTCCCCTGACTACCTCATGTCACCCCTATTTTTAATATTACAATGAATGAATCCATGTCCTGTTTGTTAGCTGACTATCCACACTGACCGCTCTGTAGAGGGGCGCAGAAAGAGACTTTCTCTTTGGAGAGCTATGTGTCTCTGTAAAAAAAATAACATTATATGAAGTATATCTACACACATATTAGGGGCTAAAATCGAAGAACAATTGTGTTCAACAGTCTGAGAACAATCAAACAGTGTCATTCAAGCCAGTCATGTGACATCCATTAGGAACACAATGCCCATAGGGAATAAAAATGCACTTTTCATGTCAGTGTAGTCACATGTCTCCCTGGAAGGTAAAATAACAGGACTAGGTAAAGTTTTATTACCATAATAATGGTTCCACTGACAAGATAAAATATAGGCATATCACGTAATGTTCCACAGACCACCCACTGTGGGACACAGTTTTTCCCCTTCCCTACCTCCTTTTTGAAGTGAGGCCAAAATTGTGGTGAGTGCGCACAAAATTCTCTCTGAAGTTCATTATCTGGTTCCTCTAATGACGGCGCCCTGAATCAGACTGTGACCTTTCTGGGCTTACACCAACAGGCTCATTTGCAGAGGGACAGTGGTGACACGGTGATGACCTTGAACTGTGTCCCATGTGACTTCTTTCATTTATTTATGTCTTTCTTTGTTGATCTGACAATACTTTCATGTGAGTGTACCTGCTGTACTCCATTATTAATGGACTGTCCATTTTCATCTTATTGGCAAAATGCAGTGTTAAGCTACTACTCATAGACTTAAGATAGTAATAGTGACACGAAGAGGGCAAGATCAACCATTGTTCTGTAAATCAGATGCAGATCTAACACAATACAGACTGCATACACCTATGATTGTATTCTCTGAGTTGCTGATATCTGCTTTATTGCACAGAACCGGGTTGATGCTGTACAACAGGAATACTTCCATCTGTTTTTTTTGCATGTGTGTGAAATAGGAATGGCATGAAAAAAAGGTGGTCTAGGCCAAGCCACATGCTGATAATGTGTGAGGGTGATTATGCATCCACTGCTTGTCTAATGTCAGTTTCTACCATTGTCTCATGGGCTGTTCAGTTGATGATTCAGTTGTTCAGTATGAAAATGTGATCTAGATTTTCTACACCTCACACTTCCCAACATCTCCTCCCACTTTGACTTACTGGAGACATGTGCTTGGAAACTGTTGTAAATACTTGAGTACAGTGACAGTGTTTGCTTTCTGGGTGGTTACCCAAAAATGAAGCACCTGACCTTGAGTACAACAAGATTACATGACAGGCAACTTGTTTGTGTCTTATATTGTAACTGCAGAGAGTCTAAAAAGAGTTTTTACTTTCAGATTCTTGTGTTGGCTCTTAAGCAACAAAACACTTAACCTCTTGTAATAGTGCTGTATTTCATAAATGTTAATGGATTTGGCCTACATAAGAAGAAAATTAAAAATCATAGTTCAAATAATACTGAAATTATAAAATCATTGGGACAGATTTTTAGGGTCAACCTGTATTAATTATAATCAGCACTACATAGCATGCATTAACATCAAAGGCTTTTTGTGATTGGCAGGGTGGAGTAACTCCAAGCCAGTGTTTTTCCACTGAAGACATGAATGGACACCCAGTGAGTTCAGCTTGGGCTCAACTTTTTATCCTGCTTTACTCTTTGGCTTTGGAATCCCAGCCCTAATAGATTATATTTATTATATCCTGATCAATCCAGGTGAAGGGTGTGAATAAAAAGGACATGATTTTTGCTTCTCTTACTTCTGGCGCTCTGATACTGAAAGAGTGATCCTTAGCACAACAGTATGTTTGTGGTGATTGCAGTAGGCTGGCTGAAAAGCTGATGTTTCAGGGTCACTTTGCTTTGGAAATCTTGCTTTCTCTTCTTATGAACTCAAATAATCATCTGCTGATTCCAATACGAACTGGTGACATCAAAACGTAATACACAAACACTCAATGCTGACCCAATGAGTGTTTGATTTTGTGTGCTCTTTGTATTTTGCTCTTTAATCAGATGAAGATGATCTTTATGATTTTTATCCGAGAAATTCTATCCCAATACATTCCTCCTCTGCAGAATCTTTGTTCTGTTATTTTGTTCTCTGGATCCCTCAATAATACAGGTGTTTGCCATGAATGAACTCTTTGTTCTTTGTCAAGCTGTCAGTCTCTTTCTCCTTTCCACACATCCTCCTCCTCCTCTCTTCCCAGAATTAGTCATTTTACCAATGATGAAAGCAGTTTTCTTTTGCATTGTCACTGTGATATTTGAATTACCTGACACATACACATAAAAATCTAACAAGTCAAAGAAGCTAAATCAAAACCGTGATGTGAAATCATGTGCCACTGAACACCAAGACTGATGATTACCTCTCCAAACTGAAGCCATAGAAGATTACTGTGCTGTGCGTCAGATGTACTGGAAGGAATTAATAAGTGAGATAAGTGGTATTGTGATTGGCACATGATTGGACTCAACTGCTGTTGAGAGCAGACTTGCAATCAAGCACATATAAATCAAGAAAACATATTACTTACTTAATTTTCACATTCACTTTTCAGCATTTAATTGTTCTTCAATTTCTTTCCTTTTGTATTCCTTTTTGTAGTCTCTATGTGACCTTACCTCCCATTATGTCCTTTCCTCTTCCCATCCACTCCTTCCAACCCAAACCCTCAAACAGGAACCTGGCCCTGCCAAGGTGACCGTTACCAGCAGCAGCAGTGGAGGAAGCATACCTTGCCTGCCCAGCAGTATCGCCAGTGCTGAGCGTGTCCCGATGAGCCGTGCCACTCTGTGGCAAGAGGAGAGCCGCTGGAGCCGGGCCACCATCCCCTGCAGCCGCAGTGCCTCCTGTATCAGCCAGCTGAGCCAGAGCCAACCAGACTCCAGTATCACCACTCAAGACGGTGAGGACTAAGATGACGACATGCCATTCCTCAACATCCTGTATATTTGCTTCAGCTGTCATTTTACTCATAAGAAATACTAGATCGCTTTAGGAAACATCTTGCTAGTCACAGCTAACATAAAGACATTGTCACATGGCAAATCTGCAATGACCTGGGCGTCCACATTAGCTTAGTCTCAGTTTTATGTAACAGATATGTAATACATGATATTTATATATGTGTGTAATATTTTCACATATCTAACAATATTTGCAGGCTGTTTTGGGTGTTAATCAATGGCACTGTGTTCTTGTTTCAGATAGCGGCACCATGAGCACAGGACGCAAGGTACGAGTGGAGAGTGGTTACTTTTCCCTGGAGAAGACCAAGTCGGAGCCCTCTTCACAGTCTTCACAGCATTCTCCACCCCAGCATCTGCCCCTGTCCTCCTCAGCATCCTCCTCCTCTTTAGGAGCTCTCAGTCCCAGGTATAACTCTGAGTCAGAACCCCAGATTTCCCCTTATCAACCCTCCCAAGATCCTCTTCCTTCTCCAGGTGCGCTTGTTTCCCCCAGCTACTCCACCATGAGCTCCTCTCAGAGCTCACTGGACTCTGAGCCCAGTGGGACTACACCCACCTGGGAGCGAAACAGTGGTGGTGGAGGAAGCACTGGTAGTGTCAGTGGCGGAGGAGGCCGAGTGGGCCGTTCTGGCAGGGAATATGCAGCACTGTCTGATGTTCCACGGGCTCGCAGACTGAGTTATCGTGAAGCCTTCCGCTCAGAGAAAAAGCGCCAAGAGCTGAGGGCACGGACACGGAGTCCTGGCAGAGAGGAGGTGGCTCGGCTGTTTGGGCAGGAGCGCAGGTGAGAGGTTATAGATAAGTGTCATGCTCGGCACACTGAAAAAAAAATTCTTCAGAAACATTTTAAGTTTGTGGCAACTGCTTTCTGAATAAATGCTGAACACATATCACATAGCAGAAACATTCATGCAGATTCACTTGTGATAATAATGGCAACCAAACATAATTAATAATCATTAATGAGCCACTGGTTGTTAGCCCTTGGTATAGCATTAAAATATAAATAGCATGCCAAGTAATCTATTATGTGAAGTTCATGCATTGCTTAAAGCATTCAACATTTTAGTTTTTTAGCACCACCCTGTGGCTGCTGTCCTTGAGGCATTCATACCTACCCTAGCTTACCAGTGGTTTGCCATTAATGATTTGGGAGATTTAAGTGCATGTGTTACTTTCTTTTCTATGGATCTCTACCTTTTGCTCTTGCTACTTTGCTAGTTTGTTTTGTTGTTTCGATCTTTTCCAGGGGCTTCTGAACAGAGCTTCTCAGATCTAATGCTCAACCAACCCCTCCACCCCTGTCCCAATGCTGTTCCCTGCTGGTCACCGCTGATTCCTGCTTTCTATCATTTCATCTCTGCACTGCCTGGGAGCACAGACATACACTGTTTCATGAATGCTTTACTGTATATATTGTGTATACTCAAACATACTGAGGGTTGGTACTAATGGTGGGTTAACGTACAGTTTGATGTCCCTTCCTTTCTCATACAGACACACACACACACACACACACACACACACACACATTAACAAGTGCAGTGCCTTAAGGTAAAGCTGTGTTGCCATTGCTGCTACTTCTGCAATTTGATTAATCCGCCATCCTAGTCATTTTCCTTTTCTTCTAAAGTTTAATCTCTCATCATATAACACAACTCTTTATTCTTTGATGTATCTATGGATTGTTCTCTTCGGGGATATTATTTCTATCTTATGTTGCACATTGTTTTCTATGAAAGGGACTTTGAGTCTAGAATGATATGTAAATGCTGTGCAGTAATGGTGGCATTGCCATTAACTGAAACTCCTTGTATCCATTATGGACATGGCTGATATTTGCTCTCGTATCATGCCTTGGTTTTGTTTTTATGCTGATTCTGCTACCATTTGAGGATGATATGCTACATCATTATGTTTTTAAACACATTTGTTTCACTATTATGTCATTTTTAAAGAATGATTATGATATTTAACTCATTTTAATGTTGCGTGAAATGCTGTAGGCGCTGTACATTGAGAACTTCTTTAAAGATTATGTTCCTTTTGTGTCTCTTAGGCGTTCTCAAATCATTGGCCGATTCCAGGAGGGTCAGCATGTAGAGCGTATGGATACAAGCAGCTCCAATGAGCCCTCTGCTAACACCACACTAATCCAGAGACAAGGCCGCAGCGAGAGACGCTATCTGGCTAACAAACATGTATGCTATTCTCTTTGTTAATCCTGAACATCTAAATATAAAAAGGTGTAAAGATCGCAAGGAATTCACTGAATGGCATATGACCTACACATTGAGAGTTAGTTAGACATAATATGCCTACGTTAGTAAGGAATATAATTTTATATTTTAGGAGATGTCACTGGATGCAGGAAAGGACCGTGCAGTCTCTGATGTGTCCAGCTCCATTTTTTCTAATTTAAGAAGAGCCAAGTCACTGGACCGCAGAGTCACTGAGTCCTCAATGACTGTGAGTACTTGTACTACTTTTAAATTGTACAGGGTCCCTAGCCAGTGGACTACAAAATAATTAAGCACCGCCTTCCCACCCATGAAAACTGCCAATTGTGTTTAATAGAGCATCCAGAAGATTGAACCCTTTATGCTGCAGTGTATGGTCCAATTTTTTGTGGCTTTTTTTTCTCCCTCTGCACAACCTAAATGCCCAAAAGGGTAGAATTTTGACACAAAGAGGATTCAAACACTTTTTGACGTACATTTGCGTATAACATGTGCATATAACAAAACGCTGTTATTAAGAACTACACCTAAGCGCACAGTATGATATAGGAAATGAATTTTTTAGTTAACGGTTTCTAGGCATTACCCATTTTTGTGGCACAGAATGTGAAATGATTGATATCCTCTAGCAATTTGCAGTATGCAAGATAACAAAAAAAGTATTATGAGTATGTAAGCATTAAGTCATCCAGTCTACTATATGATATATGCATGATTAACTGGACCCATTTGTTTAGGCATCCATGTGTAAACTTTTTGAAATGTCCACTAGTGAGTCACAAAATCAGAGTACATAATTTAACTTCAGTTACACACCACTGCAACTCCAAATGTGACCATATTACATCAGCACTTGTCTCCAGTCTTCAGTAGTGACATTAAACCAGCCCTTAAATTGCTTAAGGTTACTATTCCTTAAGTCTGACTCCTACCAGTCTGACAAACTGCTACTGATCTCAGGTCTGTTCAGAGATTGCTGCAGGGGTGATCCAGTCAGTGTGTGGTTGGTCTCTCTGGCCGTGTTGCAGCTGCCAAAACCCCCACCCACTCAAACACACACACACGCACACATTCATGTACACACCGCCGCCACTGCTACTGATGATTATAAATAGCTAGCACAGAAGCAGCCGCAATCGTGTGTATGTCCCTGGGACAGACGGAAAGAAACAGATTGTCAACATATGAAGTGAAGGCAGTTAGCCATCAGAATGACTCTCTGCCAGGCGGTGACACCACACCTGATGAAGCTCAACAAAAACAAGGTATTGTTGAGTGAGCAGAAGCCAGGTTTTGGACGAATGATTTCCTTTAGAGTCTATAAACAGACTTTGAGCTTGGTTTCAATGTGCAGCAGTTTGTGTTTCACAGGGAAAGATCAGCTCCCGCCAGTCGGTCTCTTTAGCTGGAGCAATGTATCGGCACTTAGACTTCTTGAGCTGAGGTAGTGAGTGACCTAAATGTAAACAAATGTACGTAAATGTAATAGTGTTTAGGGAGACATCAGTCATATATGATTACATCAGTGATGAATACTCACTTAATGACGACTTCTAATATAGTGACAAATTAGTGCAAAATGTTTCAACACAATATTATTTTATTTGGTTTTGCAGTTCTTTTCAGCAAGTGGTAGCTTAATGTCCTATTATTGAGTTAATCTAGTTGCATCACATCATATCATATCACTCTCATTTGTCCTAATTGCAGCCAGATCTGCTGAACTTCAAAAAAGGATGGATGACAAAGCTGTATGAAGATGGAATGGTAATTTGCTTTTATTAGAAAGATTAATTTGCTTCTCTCCCATAATGAATAAGTATTACAATAATGGAGGACTGGTGAAATCAAATGAATGGTGTCTTTTTCCCCCTCAGTGGAAGAAACACTGGTTTGTCCTGACAGATCAGAGTTTGAGGTACTACAAGGACTCAATAGCAGAGGAGGTAAAACTTCAAGTAACTGTGGTTTTTGACTTAATTTGATTGAAGAGGCAATTAAAAAACAAGGATTTTTTTGTTGTTGTTTTTTTCAGTTTTGTCTGTTAACTTTGTTTCATAGGCTTCAGAACTGGATGGTGAGATTGACCTTTCCACATGCTATGATGTCAAAGAGTTCCCAGTGCAGAGGAATTACGGTTTCCAAATCCTGGTGAGTGTTGATTCTTCTTGTCATCGATTGTCCTGCGTCATTAATCACCAGCAAAGATGAAACTCATTGTCTACACACTTGAGCTCTTCTGTCTCCTGCTAGTCTATAAACAGCTTTAGACACCATGTGGTGCAACTTTAGGTATCAAGTTTTGCCATTTCTCTTTCTGAAGCGATTCTTTGTCTGTCATGATGGATGTCACTTGACTTGTCATCTCTCTGTGAGAGGCTGACATCATAGCGGTCTAAATCTGCTGCAGCCAATGCCAACCCTGCTTGTTCCTTTTGAACACGTGACCCTCATCCTGCACAATATGTTTACCTAACCTCTTGCATTCAAAAGGCCTGTCGTCAACATTTGCTCTACACACACACACTTATGTTTTTGGTAGTTTTCACTCTGAACCATAATTGCATAACAGTTGTGCAATTCCATGAATCCTGCTGCACGCCCTATGACAGAATACTTTCGTCATATAATCCTTTGACTATTAAACATTTTTAGCACTTGTTGCTGGCAAAATACTTACTGGACGCATATAGTTGCGATGCAATGCATTCGTTCTCCTTTTGATGTCAGTGGGGTTTTTGTTACTGTCACATGTAGACTTAAATTTGCCATACTAATCCTTTAGGAGGAGAACCATAGCTACAAGGTCATTTCTTTTGTTTACATTAGCTTGAAGCAGCTCCCCCAGCTATTTTCTGGAGGATGTCTGAAATAGAGATGTCGAGGGGATCGTTGTCTCTTTGGCTAAGAACAACATGGGTTTGGTGTCGAGAAATTAATAACTCCAGTATTTATGTCTACTCCCTCCGCTCCATGGTCAGACGGGAGGGGGCTGTTGTTCTGTCATTGCAGCTAAAGCATTGTAAACTTGAACACTAATTAAAATTGTGATGTCTGGAAGTTTAAATGAATAACTGTGGTCATGGAGGAAAAAGAAACTTAACTTCCACTAGAGGTCACTGTATATAAGGCTTAAGTTAAAGTTATTGCAGATACAGCTGAGTTACAAGGCCTTTGAGTGTAGGATACCACTTTTTACAGGGATTTATATTGCTTTGGTTTTGAAGATGTTAAGATGTCAACTTAATGTAACATTGTAGAATTATACATCTAAAAGTTACATTTGCCTCAACTCATTTTTAAAGCCAGGTGCTATTACCATTAAATGGTATTTGTACAAATTCTAAAGACTGAAAATTGCA